AGTTTAGAAATGGAAATATCTGAATTCAGTGCTTAAGGATTTCTTTCCTAATATTTGGTAGCAGGCACCACACTGCCAGGACTTCACCCTGATTCCAGCTACTTAATATTCCTGTGAAATTTGTTAGGTCCTATTTCTCTCTGTTCCTGTTCTCTAATGGAAGACATTGAGAGGAGAACTATTACTGACTTATTTTGAGGAATGAAGTTGTTTTTTTTTTTTAATTTTTATTAGTGAAACACCATGAGGTACAGTTGTAGACTTACAAATGTTTGTGCTTGGGTTTCGATTATACAATGATCAAGTACCCATCCCTCCACCAGTGCCCATTTTCCATCACCATGGATCCCAGTATCCCTCCCACCCCCATTCCTCCATCCCACCCTGCCTCTGTGGTGGGGCATTCCCTTTTGTTCTCTCTCTCTCCTTTTGGGTGTTGTGGTCTGCAAAAGAGGCATTGAGTGGCAATCATGTTCGGTCTATAGTCTACTTTCAACATGCATCTCTCATCCTGGGAGGATCTTCCAAACACCCTTTATTTGGTGCTCCCTTCTTTATCTGAGCTGCCTTTGAGGAATGAAGTTTTCTTAATCAGGCAAAATATTGTTTTTCAGGTGAAGAATTTAGAATAGAGTCTGCCATCATATTTATCATTAATTGAAAATCATTACTGCACAACTCTCAGAAACTAGTTGTATTAGGCATAGTAAAAGAAATAGCAGTCAACAACATATCAACATATTCCTGTTCATTTTACCCTATTATAGCCAAAGTTAACATAAAGTACTTTGGTATTAAAAACAGGACTAAGAAGCCATAGAGAAAGTCTAGGAGGAAGGTTGCCTGCCTATGGCGGGTGCAAGCTCCATCCCCAGGACCACACGATTCCCCAGCACTGCCATGAGTGATCCCTGAGCACAGTGCCAAGAGTAAATCTGTAGCACTGTCAGTGTACTTCCAGACAAAATAAGAATAAGATATGTTAATAAATAGATAATAAAATAGGAATAGTTCTGCTATTTTCATCATAAAGATCCAACAGATACCACACTGAAGCACTGTAGCACTGTCCTCCTGTTGTTAATCAATTTGCTCGAGTGGGCACCAGTAACGGCTCCATTGTGAGACTTGTTGTTACTGTTTTTGGCATTTCGAATATGCCACAGGGAGCTTGCCAGGCTCTGCTGTGCGGGCAGGATACTCTAGGTAGCTTGCCCAGCTCTGAGAGAGGGGCGGAGGAATTGAACCCAGGTCAGCTGCATACAAGGCAAACACCCTACGTGCTGTGCTATTGCCCAAATACCACAGTATCCTCAGTTATATATATATATATATATATATATATATATATATATATATAAAGCTGTATTTATTTAAATATTTGCAATGACATCGAGTCACTAGATTTTGTTTTGTTTGCTTGTGGCCACACTCAGCAGCAGAGGTGCCCAGGGCTTACGACTGACTCGATGGTCGCTCTTGGAGGGTCTGTGGGGACCAGATGCATTACTGGGGATCACAGTGAGCGGCCAGTATATTTCAAACAGTGTCCACTAGCTTCAGTAAAATAGATTTGAAAAGCCAAGCTGGACATCCAGGCCACGACGGGTTACTCACTGTCTGACTCCAAGAGAACTCACTCCAGCAGAACTCAGTAGAAACACTGCCCCGAGGCTGGCTGGCCTTTTAGCGAACACGTGTCTTGTCCCTATACCTAGCTGGGCTAACAGGAAAAACTTACAGAAATATATTTCCTGCCTAATGAAGTCCTAATATTAGAAAAATTTTCACCAGTATTTAAGCAGGTTTATATTCTCCAGTCTCTTCCGGGTTCTAGTGAATCCTATTTTTTTGTTTTCCACAGCATAGTCCTATAGAATTCTGAAAAACTGCTTCATTTTATTACTTCAAAAATCCCTAGTTCTCTTTGTATTGGTAGATTCAAAGACTGGTAGTGACCAGGGATATTTTTTAAAAGTAAATAAATATTGACTCAAAATGTAGATAAATGACAGCCCACTCTAGTACAATTTTTTTTCTATCAATTCATTAGGTACCAGTATGAGGAGGTACATTCTCTGTATAGGAATGACACTGTGAAGTTCATTTACTTAAAAACCCAATTTATGTTTTCTTTGCATAGAGAATGCATATATTTGCCCCCTGATGCCTGTCAATAAGCAAATGCTGTTAGGGTAAGCTCATACCTAAGCTTTCACCTTTTCTCTTTCAGAATGAAAATCTAAATTCTGTTAATCCTCCATTCTACCTTCTTATGGCTGAATGGCTGCTAGGATGAAGGTTGACATAATGTGTGAGCATCTTTGACAGATGCACAAATAATTAAAAAAAATACCCTAATGCCAATGAATCTACTACTTAGATTCAAACTGAAATTAGGTTTACTTGATAATTCAAACAAAATAAAAACCAGGTATCAAATCAATAATTAGTCAAAAAAACATATGATTCTTGATAGAATTAAGTAAATGTTTCAATTTTCAAAGTAGTAATTTGAATACAATGACAGTGTCCTAATAGTTCTTCAAAATTAAAGCTACTTTTTTCATCTGAAGTTTTTGCTATTTTTTGGACAGACTTTCTGATGTGGTGTTAGGAGGCTTGGATGCTGACTGGTCATGCACTGCAAGGGCACAGAATGTGTGCAAGAGTGAGAGGACCAAACCCAGTAGTGCTCATGGGAGAATGTAGTGCTGTCAATTGAACCCGGGTTGGGTGTTTGCTAGGTGTGAGCCATAACCACTCTCCTGTTCCCCAATCCCTTAAGTTAAAATGCATCCAAACAAATTTATGGGCATTGATTGAATAAATAAAATAGATGTTTTACTTGATAATTCAAAAAGATCTTCAAAAATTCACGTAAAACATAAATGCCAGATTTCACAGCATTCTAGATGAAAAGATCCACTTCTAATTTCCAAAACAGTCAATGGAAACAACATTTTATGTTAAAAGGAAAAGGCCCCTAAAAGCCACTGGTTTTAAATAAGAAGCTGTAGGGGGATAAAAAGTGAATACAGTAGATCTTTGTTTTCTTTAATGCTATAATTTACAAAAATACTACTTTAAGTCCTACACAATGACACAATCATTTTTTTCCTAATTTGCAATCTGAGACACTATACGAAGATCCATATTCTATTACTGCACTTTCAAATCATCTTTGCAGAGAACAACTGCAAACTGTGCAGTCCATTTCCACATAAAGGGCACAAATAATTTCTGTACACATTCCTCTTCCATTATCTCCTGGCAAATATATTTTCCAGCTATTTTAGGAAATCAAATTTATCCATTCTGAGTCCTTCCAATGATCATCAGCAATTCTCAAAATCAGAAAGCAATGCAGATACCAGATTCTACAGATGACCTTTCTTAGTTTAATGTCTTAATTTTAAGTATTAGAAGATTTAGTGTAATTCTCAAATTTGTTTGCATTATAAACTACTGTGTCACATTTTTAATAATTTAAATAATAGAAAAGATCCATATTAGGTAATTTTAAAAAGCTGTTCTGATTATTTTGTAAAATGTTGGAATAAAGGGCCTAGTTTAAATGTACTAAGCAGCCACAAAATAACAGATTATTTTTTGTTAACTTAAAACTGCACTTATCAGGAGAATCTATACTTTATGACTTAGAAATAAGTTTGATATCACATTGTTTAAAAAAAATTTCAAAGATCCCCAGATAAATAGACAAACATATGAGACTTCTACTCATAGTCTGAAAGCAAACTTCTACTTAATACATAATACATTAGTTCTTGTTTCTATTTTCAAGATTAGTTCTGGGTTGATACTGATGTAACTTTTAAGAACTCTAGAACAGGTAGTGAATTTTTCAACCCACTAATTCAAGTATTTGAGATGTAAAATAAAAATACATGTTTTGTTACTTGAGTTAAGCACCAAGTACACTGGGATATGTCCCAAATTATTATCGGGAGATATGTGATTTACAACTTCTTCATAGTTTACTTAAGATTTGACATTCAGTTTATTTTTATAAAGATGGAAAGAAAATGTGTTATGTCTTCACTATTGTGCAGGGTTGAAGTGTGATGATTAAATTGAATGAATAGTGTATTTATTTTATATCGAGAATTCAAGCAAGCAAATTATTTCCCTTGGGCTGATATAAATTAATCACCTACTCCTTTGCTGGGTAGGAATACTATTTTGTAGTTTGGTGAAACTTATCCATGTTTTATTAAAATGCAGTAACCCAAGACTATGTCTCTTTATACACTTATCCACTGTTTCTTCAAGTCGAGGGCACAAATAGACGCCATTTGCATGTACTGATTACAGAGATCCAGGGCCTACTAGTTGGAAAGAATTCACAGGGCTGGAGCACAAATTTTGCATGATGGAGGTCTGGGTTTGATCCCCATCACCACACTGCTCCCCCAAAACTTCTGGAGATGACGTCAGAATTAAAACAACAATACTTATAACATGAAAGTCAAGGGCTCAGTCAAGTTATTGATGGATCAAATCAATGTTCTGTGACCCAATCAAAAACAAACACCATTTGAAGGTAAAACTAATTATTAATAAAAATACTAAAATATTTGTCATAGTGAAAATCCCTTCTCGATATTATGCCTAGAAGCATTAATTAACGCCCCCTGCCACCTCCCTCTCCCCACAAAACACTCCTGACCATCACCAAAAAAAAAAATCCCAATTTATGTTGCCATCTAAATTGGTATCATTATTTCTGAGTTGGTCAGAGACAATACACAGGCCTTCTCTCCAAACTTGCCGCCCTCCCCCACAACTTACAGACTGTCACTCTGCTTTGAGTCACTTCGGTTGCCCTTCTACTTTAAGATAATGTCTAGAAAAAGTTTCACAGACAGACTGCTACACACTTGTGGGTGTCACAATACTTTTAATTTTTTAAAAAAAATTTTGACTATTTAGCTACGATCGAGTACCAAAGATGAAAGAGAGTGGGGGCCGTGACTTACTCAATAGTGTTGCGGTCCACTTTTCCTGTCATGTTAATGCCATAAAACTGCTGCATGGCAGCTAGGGCGGACTGCATGGTCTCCGCAGAGCGCAGCACGGACATTCTGGGGTCAGTCGGTGGAAGGTAGCCGTACTTTTGTAACCAAACCTGCAATAACAAATACAGTTCCTTTTAGGTCCGATACAATGATTTTATAATAACCAATTTACGTCGACAGTATTTTTTAAAGTTTTATTACCTTTACAAGGGAATCCATTATTTGTCTGATGTATTTTTGATTAAATGCAATTTAAGCTGTTTTCAGATAATTCCCCTGAATGTCTGGGATCTTACTAATATAACGGTGAAAGAATAAAAGACAAAGATCAATCGTGCCTTGCAAGTTTATAGGCACTATAGTTACTATAGGTACCATATGTACTATATACTATAGGTACTATATACTATGGGCTGGAGCGATAGCACAGCGGTAGGGCATTTGCCTTGCGTGCAGCCGGCCTGGCCGAGCCAGGTTCGATTCTTCCACCCCTCTCAGAGAGCCCGGCAAGCTACTGAGAGTATCTCGCCCGCACGACAAAGCCTGGCAAGCTCCCCCTGATGCATTCGATATGCCAAACACAGTAACAAGTCTCACAATGGAGACGTTACCGGGCCGCTTGAGTAAATCGATGAACAACGGGAGCACTGTGCTACTATACACTATAGGTACTATAGGTGCTATAGGTGTTGTAGTACTATAGTAAACCCTGGATAGAAATATCTAAGATCAGCGCTATCTTCTAGGAATGCAGTATCTCAAAATGAAACATGATACATTTTGAACACCACATCCCCTGTCAGATGTTAATGTTAGGGGCAAGTTATATGAACACGCCACATCTAAAATGTCATTTTCCTGGACCAATGCCTAAAGCGGTTATAAACTGCATCATAAAAGAAAGATCATGCAATTCAGGGAAAATATTTGGAGTTCTAAATTTTATACAACCAATGTATTCAGTTGTAACTAGAGATATTCTTCAGAGTAGATAACTGTATCTCTTTTAATGCATCTGCATCATTTTAAGGTGATTCACTTTGACCTAAATCATGCACTCCACCAAATTCTTCAATGCAGATGAACTCAGACTACCCTGTTAAGTATATTTGACCTTCGTTTTGGGTCTCATAATTCTCATTTTTATTTTTTTTCCAGTAAAACAGAGATGATAGTTAGAGGTTGGAATTGAGCTCACATCCCAGTTGTGATTATAGCAACAATTCTGAGTCATTTAAAGTTAGATGTTAAAAGCAGACTTAAACTTAGGATATTTAGGGGAAAAAAAGTCTGCCAGAGAACAGATGGTTTCTAGTTTTATAATTCCAAGCATTTATTTAAAATACATAATAAAATATTCATCTCATATCTTTTTATCCCTAGTTTCAGTCTTTCACAGACTCTAAAATTTCTTGAAATGCAGTGATCAACCTGAGAAATTAAGAAGGGTCAAGTCATTCTGCTTCTGGTACAGGGAAGAATCTATGTTAGCTAACAGCAGGTAATCAACAGAAAGGGTATATATCCCTTCCCCTCTGGGTAACCTCATCAAATGAGGTTGCAATGAAGTTGCACCCATTCACCAACACCTAATCCACTTGCACTGCCTTCCAACTAAAACACAGAGGACCTCGTTTATCAGTGAGAATAAACGGAAATTATACAAACCAAATTCGACCCAAAGAACTATATTAAACTAATCAAAGTCTTAAAAGGTGAAACACAAGATGGAAACTTCTGTGGTGTTTCTAATAAGCTGATCTCCCCCACAAACTGCAGTGCTGTAAGTATAGTACTTTGAAAAAAAAATAAAAGATTTGCCTGCAGAATATTTGAGAGATTAGCATTGCATCAGAGTCAGCAATGTTGTTGTTGAAGCCATCCTATAAATCCCTCTACAATGTAGAAAACATACCAAGACATACTTCTCATTTATTATGTAGTAAATACACTGCCAGGTAAGACACATGTATTCAGTTACCTTCTCAACAGCACAGTCTAAAACAGATTCTACTTTTTTTTCTGAACACAGGAGATCAGATTTCACTGGCAATATATTATTCTAGGAAATTTCATAGATACTATCATGAAAATTAACCCAAATTAGAGGATTTCATCTTGGTTTTTTGTACTGTTCAAGTACTAATATTCTCAAATCGGGCAGATAATTATTCCACAATACATTGTTTGCTTTTACTTCTTAATTGCTCAAAAGCTAAATTGTGACTAAGGTTACTTAAGGGAGCTAAGTGATGAACAATCACATTTATGTGAAAAGAAAAAAACCATTAATATAAACTCTATGATTTACATATAGATAGAAAAACTATAAAATACATAAATTTTAAAGGCATAATGAAAAGTGCCATGCTCTCAAAAAATAAATATTTGTTTTATGCCCTAACCTTTTAAAATATGAGCTAGGATACATAAAAATAAATTGCAATCTTTCTTCAAGTTGTCTTTTATAATAAGCCATTTATCAGGGAAGTTTGTTCTTCCAAAATATTGACACTTGGCTAATTCTTCTTAAAATTTAAACATCAGAAAATCTGTGGAATATACCATTTTATACATGTATAAAATGGCTTTTGAAACTGACAAAATAACGTCATTAAGATTATGGATGACCCTGAGTTAATGATTCTTAATTTTATTATTACATGTTAATCAGAAATACCCTTTGCCATCATCAAGAATTGAACACGTAAGCAATAATTCAATCTTGGAAAATATAATGTATTTTTCAGAAAAATAACATAAAATCAAGCATAACTCTATTGGGCATGTTAGAAAATGATACCAAGTCCTTTAATTAATAACATACTTTTTTCTTCTTGAAGCAAACACTGCTATAAAACTTAGTCAACGTTAATGAAAAAGCAAATGATTCAGTACAGAAACTGCAGATAGAAAAATTCTTAAATAATATTTTAATCACCAACGTGACTGTTTCTGAAAGTTTTAAAACTTAAATAAATTAAATAAAACAAATTTAAAATGAATGAAGATAAAGCACAAGTAGAGGATGAACACTGGTTGGAAAGCATCATAGAAGTATAGGAGACGGGTATAGGTAATCAATATATCACTATCAAATAAACCTTTATTGTACACAATTTCAGGACTTTGTAGCACTTTGTTCTTCTATAATAATCAATAGACGTTTGAGAAATTTAAATATGACAGAAATGCATTATTCTACTAAACCACAAACATATAATATTGAATAAAAATAAAATAGAAAGTAATTTTATATCATATCTACAGTTATTCCATATCCCTAAAAGCATACTATAGTCATCTGTCCCCTTTACTGAATTTAGCAATGGATCCCTGTACTCAACATTGCTTTAAAATATCACTTCTTCTATTCATCTGCTTCTCTATTAGGGACCACACACAGTGCATCTCAAGGCTTCCTTCTTGGCCTGTGTTCGGAGATCACTCCTGGTAATGCTCAAGGCACCATATGGGATGACAAGGATTGAACCTAGGTTGGGAGAAACCAAGGCCAAATCCCTACCCGCTGCACTCTTTCTCCAGCCCTCTATTTGCTTCTTTAGTTCATTTGTGCCATGATATATATTTCAATGTCTTCAGACTTACATAGAAACTATTTAAGAAATAATTTTCTCACATATGCACTGAGGGGAAATAATATCGAGTTTGTCAAGCTGATATCAGGACTGACATTGTGTCTTGTTTTGGTGGAGGGGTTGGTCATGTCTGGTGGTGCCTGGTTTGATAAGTTTGTGTCATTCCTAGGATGTACAGGCAATCACGAAGTACCAGAGAATGAAATGTCACCTCATACAAAGGATGGGCTTAGTATGTGTCTCTCCAGCATGTCACGTGGATTTTATACTTACTATTTACTCCGAGCAATGAATATGGAAATTGATCTAGCTTTAAATTTTGTTCTTGGACACGGAACGGACTAAAAGTGTTGGCAAGACTAAGTAGTCATGAGACATAATAAATCACACAGGTAAATAGCAATGTATGATTCTTACATACGTTGTTATATATATGATCAAATATGTGTGTATACATATATATATGAAGCAGGTAAATGACATTTCAGTAAATTGATGACAAAGAACCTCTTTGTCACTTGCATTCCATGTAGCTACATTGTGAAGACTTGTATTAATGAATGCAACTATCCAGACACTCAATATTAAGGTGTTATCCTGAACGATTCTAAAAGGCAACAATATCAACAAAAAGAAATTAGTGTTTTCTCTGATAACAAATGTGACAAAAACATTTTTAGACTATATATTCTCATTTTGTATCTCAGGTCAATGCTAAAATGTAGAGAAATAAATTTTCCTCTTATTGTGGGATCAAAAAAAATCTGTCACTGTTTTAGCAAAATTAAGATACTTGTCATTTACTCAGATGAATAACCAGAACAAGAACTATATTAAAATGTACTTACTAACAGAATTTAACTGAATAAATTTATTAGGGCAAGAAGAGATATTTAGAAATTATTGAAGGAGAAAAAGAAAAATATGTTTGGAACATTAATAAGAAACATCACTTAATAAGTCCATAATTTCTATCTGTGATTGATTTAGTTATTTAATTCCAGCTAATGTAATGTGTTGCCAACTCTAAGCTTCATATACTCAGAGATCATATGACTCAAACTACATTACTCAGTATGGAAGTAAAGAGACAAAGGGATAACATGTTTTCTAATATATCTCTGGTAGAAGTAATTACTTTTTTCCTTATTAAATACCTTTATATGTGAGGACAAATTAAAAATATTTATTTTATGTTAAAATTGAACTGGTTAAAGAAACTTTGGTACACTTACACAATGGAGTACTATATAGCTGTTAGAAAAGATGAAGTCATGAAATTTATATACAAGTGGTACTACATGGAAAGTATCATGCTAAGGGAAATGAGTCAGAAAGAGAGGGACAGACATAGAAAGACTGCATTCAACTGGGGAATAAAAAGTAACAAAATAGGAGACTAACACCCAAGAATAGCCAAGATAAGTACCAGGAATTTTGCTCCATGTCTTGGAGGCCAGCCACACATGCTAGGGGAAAAGGCAGCTCAGATAGAGAAAGGAGCACCAAAT